GGGGGGGTTACAGCAATTCCGCTACCTTCAATGTGACCAACTTGACCCAAAACTACGAGGCGACTGAAGCTTCTATAGATGATTAAGCTCCTCCAACCCTGGGATACTGACACAGGGCGTATCCCGTAAGGGAGCTCCCGAGATAGAAGCTTCATCCTGCTTCATACCTCGATCGAACCAAACCAACTTTTTTTTATTGTTGTAGAGTCGCCCCCTTAAATATTAAAGCAAATCTTCTACCTTCAACATGGCCAACCTGATCCCATGCTACAAGGAGACAACTTTGACAGATGAGGTAGAAGCTCCCCCAATCCCGGGATACTATCGTGGGGCGTATCCCACGAGGGAGCTCCCACAACAAAAGCGACATCCCGCTTAACACTTGAATTGGTCCAAGGTTTTTTCATTGTTGTGCAGTCCGTCAGGTCTCTTGGGCCACCTTAGTTATCCTATTACTATATATTTATTTTCTGATGTTTTAGATTTAGTTTTTTTCTTTTTTTGTGTTTTGTAACGGAACAGCAGCAGGCATCTCATTTTTCTTTTGAGGATTTATCATAGGGTTCCAAATGGCACTTTGGCTATATTTTGGTCTTCATATAGTTGTATCTTCCCTATACCTTCACGTCCTTTCCGCTTAGCTGCCACGCCTCCCTCCTCGTTACAGACCGCAACGACAGAAGCCATTTTGTTGTTTTCCTGCAGATTTTCTTTCTCCTCGTTATTATTGCTATTTCGACCCTTCACCTACCCTGTCACTGCTCCAGCCCTTCCTCTTTGTTGCTGCCCCCATTTCAGCCCTCCATCCGTGCTACCATCACCTCGGACAGCCCTCCCACAACGCTCCCTGTTGTTTACAGCAATTCCGCTACCTTCAATGTGGCCAACTTGACCCCAAACTACGAGGCGACTGAAGCTTCTATGGATGAGATTAAGCTCCTCCAACCCTGGGATACTGACATAGGGCGTATCCCGTAAGGGAGCTCCCGAGATAGAAGCTTCATCCTGCTTCATACCTCGATCGAACCAAACCAACTTTTTTTTATTGTTGTAGAGTCGCCCCCTTAAATATTAAAGCAAATCTTCTACCTTCAACATGGCCAACCTGATCCCATGCTACAAGGAGACAACTTTGACAGATGAGGTAGAAGCTCCCCCAATCCCGGGATACTATCGTGGGGCGTATCCCACGAGGGAGCTCCCACAACAAAAGCGACATCCCGCTTAACACTTGAATTGGTCCAAGGTTTTTTCATTGTTGTGCAGTCCGTCAGGTCTCTTGGGCCACCTTAGTTATCCTATTACTATATATTTATTTTCTGATGTTTTAGATTTAGTTTTTTTCTTTTTTTGTGTTTTGTAACGGAACAGCAGCAGACATCTCATTTTTCTTTTGAGGATTTATCATAGGGTTCCAAATGGAACTTTGGCTATATTTTGGTCTTCATATAGTGTGTGTCTTCCCTATACCTTCACGTCCTTTCCGCTTAGCTGCCACGCCTCCCTCCTCGTTACAGACCGCAACGACAGAAGCCATTTTGTTGTTTTCCTGCAGATTTTCTTTCTCCTCGTTATTATTGCTATTTCGACCCTTCACCTACCCTGTCACTTCTCCAGCCCTTCCTCTTTGTTGCTGCCCCCATTTCAGCCCTCCATCCGTGCTACCATCACCTCGGACAGCCCTCCCACAACGCTCCCTGTTGTTTTCTTGTTCTCTGACAAAAAAAACAGCTGTCTTGCTATTTTCAGCTTGCTAACCGCCTATTTCACCCCTACGCCACCTTCCAAACCTTTGCCGACCACCACCACCACCCTGAATCTACCCCGTAGCTTCAGTTTGTGTTGTCAATTGTTGCGATTTCAGTTTTCAGAGAGTCGGTTGTATGTTCCTATTTAAATTCAGCAATAATAATTATTTTTTTATTGTTGTTTGGGTTAACTTCGGTATCAAATTCTAACTAGAATCAAGCACAAAATCTTCACGCATCAAACCTGTTCAACAGATTAAGCTTTTTCATCAAAAAACATGTACTTAAAAATGATGTATTACATATAGGTCCTCTATAATTGGATTGAAAATATTATACTCTTAAATACCCACACAATGCCATCAAGATCTCAAACTTAGAAAAAAAGTTTTTAATTGATGATAATACTAATCACACCAATAATTCAATAAAAACATAAAAGCAAAATTACTGGAGGTTTCTTATTCCTTCAGCCCCAAAAAATATATAGGTTTTTTAAATCAAAACTGAAATATATAGAGTGAAATAAAGACTAGCAGTGTTACTTTCAAATCTTTATGATGGAAATTGGTAGCGGTTACAAGATGTCCAAGATTACTAGGCAATGACCTAAGAAAAAAATTAGAAGGGGATTTGTGCCCTTTGTGCAGGGAGAATATCAGATAAATTATCAAAAAAAAATAGAGATGGCAAAGACCAAGAAAACTGGAAGGCGATAACCTTTCCTAATAGATATAATAATTTTCACTTTAACATAAGGGCTATCACAAATTAATACATGAGGGCATAATATAAGGACTCGCGCTTGTCTTTCAGCAAAACCACCAAAAAGTTACTTAAAAATTAGTCTCAAGGCAGTAAATACACATCAAAAACTTTTCATACAATAAATCTTAAGGCTCTCTCAAAAAAAAATTATAAAAAGCCACATTAATAAATTTTTATCTAAAAAATCTTATAGCACCATCAAAATAAATCATCAAACGCTTTAAGTTATCTCTTATATTTCAAATGTCAAATGACCCCATAACCGGGCTGATAACATAAAGTAAGTTCAATAGAATTTCATAATATGCAAAGGGGCATAAGTAAACCACCTGGAAGAACATACTTAAAATAGATCTTTGCAATAAAACCAAATGTATGGGATTTGTCTGAATAATATTATTTCAAGGTGCAAGAATTTATCCAGATCTAAAATTATATACCTAACATAATAAAAAAGCATAAGATTGAAAACAAAAATAAATTATCAAGTTATAAATCCAGCAACTAAAGTGTCAGGCAAAGTCAGGTATCAATTAAAGAATCTTCAATGTTTTATCTAGATATAAACCGCAACATAGAAGAATACCTTTTGGTAAAGTCGAGATTCAATTGCTAGCAATTTATTGAACGCTCTCTTGTCTTCATTACTAAGAGTTCTGAAAAGTGAAACAGAAGGGATGCTGCATAAAGTCTTTAGGAAACACATGAAGTACGACCCAAGGTCATTCAACTCAAGATTATTCACAGAACCACCTGTTTCCTCCTTCTGGGCATCTTCCAGCAACAACTGAAGCTGTTCAATGCACATCTTGCATAAAGAACTAGAACTGGCAATTTTTGGCCACTTAAACTTTTCTTGTAACTCAAATGATGTCACTTCAGTGCCTAAAGAAGCAGAAAATAAACCCTGAACTGCTAGAAATTTTACTATCTCTGTTTGAACCTTGAATTTCTCCTCCATAAAGTTTTGTATTTCAGTTTGCGTCGAAATGCCAAGTTTCACGCCAGCCTTCAAATTTTTCAAAACACGAGGCATGCAATCTATAACCCAATTCTTGAGATGATCCGTGTTTCCTGAAGCACCTGGAGAGCCTTTATCCTCTACTGATCCCATTTCTGAATTTTCATCAGTTGTATGACTTTGATCCGATGGTTCATCAGTAATGGCTGCTTCATCTACAAACAAACTCATCAAATTATGAACAAAATGCAAAGAACCTTGGGAAGTTGTAAATTTCTGGACCAACGTCTTAACCGTATCGGTCCTTGTGATGCAATCAAACCTTCCATTACTGTACTTTTGTAGGGATACAATGACTGCTGCACACCTCTCATTTTCAAGGTTAGTCCAACAAATTAATTCTTTCATGAAAAGTTGAGCAGCATTATATAACCATGAACTTTTAGTTGACAGGATGTCCATTAAACAGTAAATAAGCTTGTGAGAGAGGACACTATTAATGCAAGATGTTGGTAGGCGTGGGAGGAGAAGCTGAAGTATGTTTAGTGCCAAATGCTTCCGATCATGAGATGACTGAAGAAGAGTTCCTTCAATAACCACTTCACAGAAACACCTAATATTTTTAATGATATCTTCTTGAGAACTGCATTTGCGGCTCTTCTTATTTTTTATGCTACAATGCATTTCTACATCAATTTGAGATCTAGCTTCCGGTATAAGCATATTAACAAGAACTTGCCAAATACTGTGTAAGCGGGGCAGACAAAAGGTTGATTCCTGAGAAAGAGGAAAAAATAGGATGAATGGTTTGAACAAAAAAAGAACACGTCAAATGCACAAGAGAGAAAATAAATTTATAAACACCTACTATTAATACTATGATGCAATATTAATATCACGATGCACGGTAGAAAAATCAGTTTATATTTTAACTATGAGCATGAGAACTAATCTAATCATACAAATTACAGATAAGGTTAATTAAAGACCTAATGAATATCATGATAAGATAAATGCATAAATTGTATGAAAAAAAAAACCTTATTGAAATAGCATGGCATATTTAATCAATTCTATGAAACCTAACACTAAGATCTTATCCACATTATTTAACATATGTGACTTATAATAACTAAGGAATCTTCACGAACAAATCAAAATCATTATATAACTAGTATAAATGCTAGAAAAAGCAGACTATATATCAAAGAAATGATTATTAGCCCACAAGAAACACATACTTGTTGCTAAGTTTTAAAAAATAATTCCACTTTAATCATGTCCACAAGAAAAGATAACATGCTTCTTTGATGTGCTAGCATTATAATGTAATATTTATCTTCTAAAACTTAAGAATCATCACAAACCCACCTAACGAAAGGAGCAAATCCTATCCCTACAAAATATAACAGGTGAAAACACTAAACAACTACCGGCTCAAATAATATACCTTGAAACACCTTTCCAGATGTTGCAGATTCTCTCCAGAAAAGAAGTTTTCAGCATTAAAAGGATGTGGAAGGAGCTCGCCAAAAGTTTCCCTTCCCAATGAAACTCTTTCTTGTAACTTCAATGCAAAAAATAAGGCATCGGGATTTCCAGTTTCGAGAGCTTTCTGAAGCCACTCATGCACGCCAGGAGCCACAACAACATGATTTTTAATAGCTTCAATAGGTAGCTGCAAACAAAAAATATAATATATCAGCCCAAACAACACCATTCACGTAATATTGACAACAAAAAAATAAAATGGTAGAAGAAAACTACATATAATGCTTTTCAGCTTAGCCCAGCTTGCTGCATAAGGTGCAACAAAACAGTTTTCAGCTCTCCATGCTTAAATCAAATTACATGAAAACAGAGCACAGCCAGTTTGAAATGAGCTTAAGCTTCTAAGGATAAATTATTGCCCCAAGATGAATGTTATCAGATCATCTTATGGGCTCAAGAACTAATATCATGAATATTTAATAGAAAAATATCAGACATATAATATGAAGCCTTGGACAATACAAAATCAGTAAGGAACAGAAAAAATCAATTCCATTTGCAATCCATGATTGCCTTAGTTTGTTATTTAAAATGATTGCAAGCTATCACAAAATTCAAAACAAAAAAAACTGTGCATTTTCTAGGAACTAAGTGACCGGAGAGGTGCTGCAAATACTGATAAAGTTTTCAATGCACATAAAAATTTCAATATCAATAATAATCTTTACAACTATAATTTCATCTCTAATTTTATCTCTAATTTTATCAATTTTTATAATATAATCTTTCAAACTTTTATCCATAATTATACCTACAATATTTTAGTATGACTCTGATTTGAAGACTAAAGTTTAAAATCAAAATTATCATTCTCCTAAACATTTTCTCAAACTCATTTAGTTTCTTGAATATACAAGATATTTATCTTCCTATGAACAATAATATATGATAATTCTATTAATTTACTTGTGAGAGTACCTATATTCCAAGTTTTTATACTAATATTAGTTTCATGGACTAACATATTTCCCCACATCCGTCCATAATGTGAAAACCCTTGCTTATTTAACACTACATCTTGGGGTCGATGCAGCAACACTTACCATAATTTTCAAAAAATTCAAATCATACAGCGCGTCAGTTCGAAGAAAACCCTAGCATTGACACAATGATTTAAAGGAATCATATCATAGTTTTTGGACAAAAAATGTTTACGTTGGCTATCTACCTAACGCAACCCTCCACTTTTCGCATTCAAGAAATGAGACCCAACAATGGTAGTGTTAAATTTGGATCATTTCCCAGTTTATGGGTCATCCTTGCGCAGGGGTCAAACTTTGTGTCGTCCAACTTTATCATGTCTCTAAAGAGAATAAAATTACCAAGCTTTGCCCATATTAATAAACACCAAACCTTCCCTTAATTTACAATTTACAATTTAAACTAAGAACAATCATAATGTTACCCCCAATTGAAAATCCTTTAGGAATCATGACGCAATCACACGCAGTTAATTCTGAATAATAATCAGATCATCTAATTTAAATTAACTAATAATTTTCTCTGAACAATATAACTATAATCATATCATTTTATTTTAATTTAAAATAAGCATTATCCTAAGAGACAATGTTTGCATAATTTAAATAAAGATAAATAACATAAATGCAATTTAAATTCATGAACTGATCATACTCAATTTACAAATAGGTTTTGGTTGTATTATATTGATGGTTTATTTTTAATTAAATTAGATAAATATTATCCTGTGAAACACGGACGCAGACATAGACACAACACGGACAGAGACGCGACACGATACAGGAACATGACATGTCATGGATATGTTTTAATATTTAATTATTTATTAATATAAAAAAAAAATTGTATTATTGACATGAGACTTCAATGGTATGTATGTAATTTATTCATTTTTAAGTTTGGCCTCATTTTAAGAGAAACATAAGATCTAGTAAAATCCTGGTTCTCATGTATTTAACAATATTTTGGTGGTATAAATCTAAAAAGCAAAGTTTAGGATTTAGATAGGTAAAAACATGAGACTTCAATGGTATGTATGTAATTTATTCATTTTTAAGTTTGGCCTCATTTTAAGAGAAACATAAGATCTAGTAAAATCCTGGTTCTCATGTATTTAACAATATTTTGGTGGTATAAATCTAAAAAGCAAAGTTTAGGATTTAGATAGGTAAAAACATGAGACTTCAATGGTATGTATGTAATTTATTCATTTTTAAGTTTGGCCTCATTTTAAGAGAAACATAAGATCTAGTAAAATCCTGGTTCTCATGTATTTAACAATATTTTGGTGGTATAAATCTAAAAAGCAAAGTTTAGGATTTAGATAGGTAAAAACATGAGACTTCAATGGTATGTATGTAATTTATTCATTTTTAAGTTTGGCCTCATTTTAAGAGAAACATAAGATCTAGTAAAATCCTGGTTCTCATGTATTTAACAATATTTTGGTGGTATAAATCTAAAAAGCAAAGTTTAGGATTTAGATAGGTAAAAACATGAGACTTCAATGGTATGTATGTAATTTATTCATTTTTAAGTTTGGCCTCATTTTAAGAGAAACATAAGATCTAGTAAAATCCTGGTTCTCATGTATTTAACAATATTTTGGTGGTATAAATCTAAAAAGCAAAGTTTAGGATTTAGATAGGTAAAAACATGAGACTTCAATGGTATGTATGTAATTTATTCATTTTTAAGTTTGGCCTCATTTTAAGAGAAACATAAGATCTAGTAAAATCCTGGTTCTCATGTATTTAACAATATTTTGGTGGTATAAATCTAAAAAGCAAAGTTTAGGATTTAGATAGGTAAAAACATGAGACTTCAATGGTATGTATGTAATTTATTCATTTTTAAGTTTGGCCTCATTTTAAGAGAAACATAAGATCTAGTAAAATCCTGGTTCTCATGTATTTAACAATATTTTGGTGGTATAAATCTAAAAAGCAAAGTTTAGGATTTAGATAGGTAAAAACATGAGACTTCAATGGTATGTATGTAATTTATTCATTTTTAAGTTTGGCCTCATTTTAAGAGAAACATAAGATCTAGTAAAATCCTGGTTCTCATGTATTTAACAATATTTTGGTGGTATAAATCTAAAAAGCAAAGTTTAGGATTTAGATAGGTAAAAACATGAGACTTCAATGGTATGTATGTAATTTATTCATTTTTAAGTTTGGCCTCATTTTAAGAGAAACATAAGATCTAGTAAAATCCTGGTTCTCATGTATTTAACAATATTTTGGTGGTATAAATCTAAAAAGCAAAGTTTAGGATTTAGATAGGTAAAAACATGAGACTTCAATGGTATGTATGTAATTTATTCATTTTTAAGTTTGGCCTCATTTTAAGAGAAACATAAGATCTAGTAAAATCCTGGTTCTCATGTATTTAACAATATTTTGGTGGTATAAATCTAAAAAGCAAAGTTTAGGATTTAGATAGGTAAAAACATGAGACTTCAATGGTATGTATGTAATTTATTCATTTTTAAGTTTGGCCTCATTTTAAGAGAAACATAAGATCTAGTAAAATCCTGGTTCTCATGTATTTAACAATATTTTGGTGGTATAAATCTAAAAAGCAAAGTTTAGGATTTAGATAGGTAAAAACATGAGACTTCAATGGTATGTATGTAATTTATTCATTTTTAAGTTTGGCCTCATTTTAAGAGAAACATAAGATCTAGTAAAATCCTGGTTCTCATGTATTTAACAATATTTTGGTGGTATAAATCTAAAAAGCAAAGTTTAGGATTTAGATAGGTAAAAACATGAGACTTCAATGGTATGTATGTAATTTATTCATTTTTAAGTTTGGCCTCATTTTAAGAGAAACATAAGATCTAGTAAAATCCTGGTTCTCATGTATTTAACAATATTTTGGTGGTATAAATCTAAAAAGCAAAGTTTAGGATTTAGATAGGTAAAAACATGAGACTTCAATGGTATGTATGTAATTTATTCATTTTTAAGTTTGGCCTCATTTTAAGAGAAACATAAGATCTAGTAAAATCCTGGTTCTCATGTATTTAACAATATTTTGGTGGTATAAATCTAAAAAGCAAAGTTTAGGATTTAGATAGGTAAAAACATGAGACTTCAATGGTATGTATGTAATTTATTCATTTTTAAGTTTGGCCTCATTTTAAGAGAAACATAAGATCTAGTAAAATCCTGGTTCTCATGTATTTAACAATATTTTGGTGGTATAAATCTAAAAAGCAAAGTTTAGGATTTAGATAGGTAAAAACATGAGACTTCAATGGTATGTATGTAATTTATTCATTTTTAAGTTTGGCCTCATTTTAAGAGAAACATAAGATCTAGTAAAATCCTGGTTCTCATGTATTTAACAATATTTTGGTGGTATAAATCTAAAAAGCAAAGTTTAGGATTTAGATAGGTAAAAACATGAGACTTCAATGGTATGTATGTAATTTATTCATTTTTAAGTTTGGCCTCATTTTAAGAGAAACATAAGATCTAGTAAAATCCTGGTTCTCATGTATTTAACAATATTTTGGTGGTATAAATCTAAAAAGCAAAGTTTAGGATTTAGATAGGTAAAAACATGAGACTTCAATGGTATGTATGTAATTTATTCATTTTTAAGTTTGGCCTCATTTTAAGAGAAACATAAGATCTAGTAAAATCCTGGTTCTCATGTATTTAACAATATTTTGGTGGTATAAATCTAAAAAGCAAAGTTTAGGATTTAGATAGGTAAAAACATGAGACTTCAATGGTATGTATGTAATTTATTCATTTTTAAGTTTGGCCTCATTTTAAGAGAAACATAAGATCTTGTAAAATTTTGGTTACATGTACTTACGTGTTTACATATCTAACATTTAAACTTTTCTTTTGGTGTGTTTTGGTATTTTTTAATGTTTAACATATTTTATTCATCCATAAGTGTTTTTGGTATTTTGAATGTAGCGAATTTGGATGGTTTAATAGTTGTATAAGATGGGAATGTTTTGTTCAGTTTAGAAAAACTATTTCATGTCCCATTTAGTTGAGCTTGTTAATAGAACATCAATTCCAAACCGATAGGATAGGGTCAATCTATACCAATATCTACGGTTTACTTCTCATTGCCTTGTTGTTTTTTGAATTTTTCAATTGCCTGTGAAGTAAATGGTTTATCAACTTTTCCATAAACTTAGCAATAGTGAGTTGAATATGAAATGCAAGATGTTTTTGATTGACTGTGCCGCCATGTACTTTTTTTAGGAAGATTTAAATACATATGACTCAATTCCCATGTATTTACATATCTAACACCTAAATTTTAATTTTTACATACATATCACTTTTTCCATGCATGAAAGGGTTTACTTCACCTTTTAAAATTAAAATAGTGGTGTTTTTATGTGATATGAAAGTTTTAGGTGATATAAACATAAAAAAAACAAAATTTAGATGTTAGATATGTAAATACATAGGAAATAAGTAGAATCTATGAAGCACGTACAAGAACACGAGGACACGTACACAACATAATTGAAAAAGATAAGATATGACACATCATGAACATGTTTTTATATTTAATTAATTACTAATATAAACTATATATTTTTCCATTGTTCTTTATTAAAAATATCACTACACAAATTATGTAAGAATAAATTTAACTTCACAAATTTAATTTATATTATAAAATCTCATGTTTATGAAAATTAGTTTTTAAAATTAGATATATGTTTTAAAAAGGTTCATCCAACTTATTTGCTAAAATTTAAAAAATCATATGATTACAAAAAGAAAATTACTAATGTCCAGCTTCGACAAATATGAATGCACCTTCAATGCTCGATTTTAACGAATGTTAGAGGGAACTTCAACATGACAAGAGATGGGGTGGTTTCGACTATGAAATATAATGTTCTAGTTCTCGTGTCTCATTTTCTCGAAATAGTGTTAAGCTCACATCCGATGTGGTGTTAAGGTGTGTCCCGAGCGTGTTCGCACCTAAAAAAAATTCAAAAATATTTTTTGTAGTGTCGGAGAAGTATTCTTTAGAAGTGTCAATCCTACATAGATATTATCGTTTTGAATGATCCTAGTTTTAGAGCACGATTTGAATGAAAAATGATGTTCAAATTTGGATTCAAATATAACACTAATTTCAATTCAAACTATTATTTTCTTTCCATAAAAAGACAAGGATGTTATTTTCATCACTATAATTTCCTCTCTTAACCATCAAATTCTCATAAACTTTTTTACCTGAAATTGGATTCTAATCTCGTAGTCTCCCTCTACTTTCAATTATTATTTCTCATGGCACATTCTCAAAGCCCCATAATAGAACCATAAGAAAACCATCTTTGTTCATAAGAAACATCCATCCAAATGTCGATTTCCACCCTCTCACTTCGCTTCAATCAACTAAGATCAACTCCACCTCTTAGAGTCCTTCTCTAAACCATTGTCACATATACATGAAACGAGACATCAATCAAACTACAAAAGTAAGAAGAAAAAGTATAAAAGAGATATAAAAGCTAGAAGGTCCAAATCATGATCCCCTACATTATAGTTTAGCTAGTAAAACAAAGCCTTAGTAAATATAAAATGTCATCTAAGAATTGCAAAAAAAAAAAAAAAGTTATATTTTTTTCTTATTTGATTCAGAGATTACTTATTGTTGATAATGATGATGTTCACTAAGAAACTTGGATGAATTATCAGTTCAAGGAAGATAGATTGTACAAGGCATCAAAACTTACATGAAGGATCAAGATTTCCAAAGATAAGGTACAGCTTAATGGATGAGACCTTCAGATATCATGGCAAATTAAATGTTGGATGTTAATAAATGAGCACAAATAAGATGGACTCACAACCAATTTAACTTGGATTTATTTAGATTTAGTGTAAAAGTATTTAAATAGCACAAAATTCATTTTATAATTTTTTCAAAAATTAATTGCATCAAATTTCTAGTTATTTGAATTATGTCATATTTCCTTATGTAAAATTACTTCAACTAATATTTTATTTTGTGATCATATGGTTAATTTGCACATCATATGATCACTCTCTCTCTCTCTCTTTCACACACACACACACACCTCTTTCACACACACACAGTATATTGATCCAATGCTTTCCATATATATATATATATATTATTCTTTAAAGGAAATTGATATTTGACAGTCTCAAATACCGATTTCCCATGCGCTAGGCCTTATGATAAGAGCCCTATGTCCCAAAATATTTGAGAATCCAAAGCCACTGGGGATCAAACCCGTGACCTAATGAGACTTACAGTGAACTCCGCCAGCCAACAGACCAAGACTTGCGGCATATATATATATAGGGTTGTAAACGAGCCAAGCTTGAGCGAGCTCAGGCTTGACTCGTGTTCAGCTCGTTCGAAATTGTTCGTGTATGAAATTGGCTCGTGTTCAAAAACTGCTCGTGAACAGTGTGTTCGTGTTCGGCTCGATTTAAATATTCGTGTTCAGCTCGTGTTCGGCTCGAAATTGACTCGTTAAAACTAAACTGAAAAAATAGATGTTGAGTGTTGGATTCGAATCTGAACAAAATATATGCAAAACAAAATGCATAACCACATTACCACAAGAGCAATTACGATTTAAACTTATATATAAATATATATATATAATATATTATTATATAAATAATATGTGTAATATATTAAAAGATGCCAATTATTTATCTAATTTGTTTTAGAACTACCCTATACAGAATGAAGAATGTCCAAGCAAACCAATTTACAGAATATACTGCCCACGCAGAAAATAAGCAACCTAATTTTCCTTATTTATAGAACTTCATTAACATCTTTACATGTAATGGGATTTGTAAATTACAGGCCTAGTAAAATCTACTTTTCCCTCTATAACTATACTTCTCTTTCAGAACTCATAGAAGCTGTGCCTTTGAGGTCTAGTTTCGACAATCGGACTCCTCCCTCCAGCACTGGCGTAGCCGTCCTCGTAGGTACTGCTGGTGCTGAACTCCACCTGAGTTCTGAAAACCGCACATACCGGCCGGTGGTCGGAGAATCTTGACTCTCCTCTGTTATATTGTACTTGCTCGATTCCATCTCCGCACCATAATATACGGTCACACCTTAAAAAAAAGCACAAAAATTTCATCATTATTGTTACTTCACGTAATCAATCAATCTTGAGATTACTGCCACACTTCTTTTAAGTAAGGTTAAATAGAATGGTTTTCCCATGAGGAAGAGCCGATGATGCAGTTTCACTCTGCATTTCATAGAGAGAATTTGTGGCCAAGAAAGGTATTTACATAATACACCATCCAATTCTTATGTATTTACTTTCCTCCCACCTAAACTTTGATTTTTACATTTATACCACCCGAATCTCTTATCACATAAAAATACAACCGTTTTTTAAGAGGTGAAATACACCTTTTCATGCAAAGGTAAGGCGGCCTATATATATATATATATATATATATTAAAGGAATGGCTGGAGGCTATTATACGAGTTCGGTCATCCTAAGAATTCGAGTACCACACCCTACACTCGGAGGGAATCGAACCCTAGACCAATGGGGATTTACAACTAGCAAGCAGATGACCGACTAACTAATCTGAGTACGCGACGCATATATATGTATATATATATATATATATAAATGTTTGAAAGATGGCATGTCACATCCAACAAGCGATGAGTAGTTAAAATAATTATTGCAAGATGGGCTTGGGTGTTTCCTTTTAGTGTTTTTTTAATCATTTTGATGGGCTGTTTAACTCAATATTGGAGTCTATATACAAAAACTAGTTGAATAAGAATGACTAATGGATAAGCAAAAGATAAACCTTTTCATTATATTAACTTTGTGAAAACTTTAAAGTGAAAAAAATTGAAGTTACTTTAAGAAAACTCATCATTTTTTACTTTTAGGCAATATTTTCATTAAGTTGTATTTTTATTACATACCATTCGATTTGTTTAGTCAATATTGAGTTGTAATTATAGGAGATGATCATCAACAAATCTAAAATTCAAAATAAGTTTCCTTTGATTCTTAGCTTGTACTTCTTAGTGGTTCTGCCAAGTGGATCTTGGTGGAGCTTTAAGTGTAAAGGTTGTAGTTGGGAGTACTTGCCTTTGATCAATTAGTGAGTACTCTTGCCCTAAAATGAAGACAATGTAAGGTTTCAGCAGCTCTCCACAGGTAATGGAGTCAGCTTGTAGTAGCAAGTTCATAATAGAGAAGTCCTAAGGTGATGAGGGCTTGAGCATGAATGCAAGATGGGTTCGGGACCAAACCTTAAAAATAATTGTGTGTTGGATTTGTTCTCGAACTTAAATTTACTTTCCTTACAAATGTATCAAACTTGAATGTATTGTAAATTTTTTTACTTGTACTTCAAGTTATATGTTCTCAAATCAAGCATAGGCCATTATACCTCATCTTGTTATTTGTACAAATTTGATCATGATGTTTGTGTTTTAATTTCTTTAGCTAATATAATTAAAAGCAATTCATGTGTGCTTAGCAGATATAGCTTGCTTAACCATTTAGACATATAGCTTAATTAGAGAGTGCAATGTCACTTGTAGGAATTAATCATTATATTATAAGCGTATGTTTACTAATAATGTTAAGTATAACATCTTTAAAAATGTGTGTTCTCATTTGAAGACTTACTTGTAACATTTGATCCATGTTATGCATACTATATCGCTTATAATTGTGCAAACATTGTGTATTTTATAGTTATATTTATGGCTCCCTTTAACATCTTAAAGGCGAGGGTCTGAATTGGCGAATTTTTGAGAGAAGTTCTAAGTGTCCATTACACCCCAATTCAGTCCTTCTCAGAGTGCCTTACTTTACACCTATGGCACTTAAAAAAGAAAAACACCATCAGACATTTTCCAGCAATTATAACCAACTTTATACATAGTAGATGTCTAAAACACGCAAAAGAAAAATAGATTGAATTTCATCTAAAGGCTTGGCAATTACACTTAATACATAGAATAGTCACATAGCTTCATTCCACAAAGCTTGCAAAACAAAGATACATACCTTTTCCAACATATCCAATATTATTGCAACAGCTGGCTCATGCAAGTAACGTTTCTTCTGTGCAAGAGAGATCACAGTGCTAGTAAATTCCTTCAAAACAGGCGTATTTTTATCAGAAATCCACTCTGTGGCTAATCGATGTGATCTAGCAAGCGATCCATATGCAAAAAGGCATCCTAAATAACAGTCTCGAGCTTCCTACAGTATAAAATGGAAATTCATGGAGTTAGGACCATGACTAGCAAATCAATTCAAATAATAACAGGAACCAAATACATTACCAGACCCTTCATAGCGGAAGAAACTTCCAATAAGTTAATAATCAGCTTCATTACAGGAACTAGTTTAACTGCAGGAATCATCTCAACAACAATGGCTAAACCCAAGGAAAACCCTTGCCTTGCACACTGCAGAAAGGCAAATACCTTTAGCCAAAAATTACAGATTCTGTGTTTTTTTTTTAAATGGAAATGCACTAATTTTTACTTCGAATAATTGTTAATAGAAATTACAATCAGTTTCCTCAAAAAAAAAAATTAGGTCAGCAATACAAATCAAAAGGAACATGAAATCTCTACAAAAACAAGATTTTTTTTCCATATAAAAAAGACCATAAACAGAAGTTGCAAATTAAATACAAAAAATATGTCACACAAAATGCAAATAAAGCACATTACATACTTACCTCCCGTGAAGAAGAAACACCACGAATAAGCCGACGAATGGCATATCTTAAAGAGGGAGCACAGCCATCTAGACCATCATCCTTTTCCGCTTCAAGCTGTGAATTCTCCTCATCTTTTGCATCTGTTAGCTGCTCATAAGCTCTTTGAACCTCAACCAATTCTATCACCAACTTTTCCGCAGCAGCCTCTCTAACTGATGAATCAGCAGAAGCAAGATTCCTAAATACGTCAATATGGAACCCAGGAAGATCACTTTTTAGGGGAGAAGACAGTTGCATTTGAGGAACAGAAACATTTTCACCGGTATTTTTAGCTTTTGAAGGCTCCTTGGCCTCAAATTCAAATCGGTGCCTCTCTTTATCCATCACCTTTCTCTTCTTCTTCCTTTCCATGGGTTTCAAGGACTGTAATGCAGCCTGCGGGGCAAAACTACCTTTATCCTCGTTGATTTTCTCCTTATGGATTTCCATATCATATTTAGGAGTATTATTCTTATTTATTTCACCTTCATATGATTCTTGAACAGCACTAGGTTGCCTCTTCTTGCTACCCATTGAAGCAAATGGAAATCCCTCAAAGATTGAACCTTCCAGTGAATTTGGACAAACTCCAAGGGGCTGTCTGGTAACGGATTAAGAGCAAGGTTTAACTCGGATTTGACCTAAATCCTGCCAGACGGTCAGTTTGGACAAAATAAAGCCGCGGATTTCATAAATCCTAATTTTAGTGATTACGGACGCAAATCCCGGATTTACTAAATCCTGTGAATCGGCGATTCGCGCGAAAAGGAAGATATGAACTTACCTTCCTCCAACTCTCTCCATGGTTTCGGATAGGAGCGGTGCGAAAGGAGAAGAAAGATAGGAGTTTCGGGTCTCCGAACGCCGCGATCCCGCCATTACCTTCCCAGTCAGCTCTAACTGCGACTGTATGGAGAGGGTTCGGTCAGGAAGGCGATGCTTTTGGGCGAAACCGGGAGTGGGGATAGGGACGAAGGCAAGCCGGAGAGGGTAAGGGTCTTTGGCGAAATCGGGAGAAGCGGAGCGATCAGGGCAAGGGTTTCGAGCAGAGAAGGGAAAAGGGTAGATGGGACTAGGGCGTGCAAGTGAGCCAAGCCCATTAGGGAGCTGGCTCGAGCCCGTCTCAGTTAAGTTCAAGCTAGCCCCACTCAATTGTTTAGCTCATCAACTGATTATATATAAAATTTAAAAACTTTATCTTTGAGATTTTAAAAATATTAAGAAAATAATATTTTTTATTATATACTATTTCATTTTTTTTATTGTCTATCTTCTAATTTTTAGTTTAAATTAATATCATTTTCTTTCTTTTATATTAAATAAACAGACTCAAACTCAAAGATTTAAGCTTGCGACTCAAGCTCAAATTGAGGGCGGCTCAAGCTCGACTTGACTCATTAACACTCTTAGATGAGATTATTGTCTGAGCAGCTGATTCTGATAATCTGCTGATGGACAACTGATCTGGATAAGCTGACTGGCTGTTTGGTTTGTGCGTTTGGAAAGCAGCTGGTTCTGGATAAATGACAATTTCACTCATGTTCTGGATAAATTGTTTAGTTATTCGGTTTATGCGTTTTGTAAACAGCTTATTTGCAAAATTAAAACCAAAATACATATTAAAACTACAATTAGAAATATGATTATAACATTCAGTTTAGAATGTGAAAACAACAATTCATGAGAACCGTTGCTCGGTTGTTGCACGAGAGAACCCTGAGCAACATTATGTGGTTGGGAAACACTCGAACCACAAGTGATGTTCTCCAATTGTGACATCGTCGAATCTTGTGCAACGTTGTCCGACTTCATTAGTTTTACTCATTTTGACTGTGATTCATTTGATTTAACATCTAAAAGTAAAGGATCATGTACCATTAAAACCAAAGCAACCTCACATAAATGATGAAAAGAGCAAAACACAAATCAAAAGTAGGGCTTACATAGATACCACACAAAAAATAGATAAATCCCTCACCTAGAGTCGGGAACAAAAACCTGGATAATGGATGGAGCCAGCATTCAAGACAAAATTAAACTAATTTCCAGACATAAACGATTCAACTTACGGAAGAACGACTGCGGGCCAGGCGAACGCCTCGGCGGCGCTGGGCTCACCGGAAGAAGGCGATGAGGAAGATGGAGAGGAGTCTTTCTGCGATTGGGCGCGAGGACGGTGTAGATGAGAAGAAGAAGTTGCGGAGAAGTTAAGAAGGGGGATTTCGGCGAAGCTGGAGGGTTCATTGCTAAGAGCGATGAGTGAATAAGAGCGGCAGTGAGACTGAATTTGAGATTGGAGAGCGGAGGCCACCGACGAGCTCTAGTGCAATGCAGTGAGGTTGGTGGTGCCACGGCGATGAGTGTCGAAGCCATTGGACGATCTTTTTTCTTCATTGGCTCACCTGTCGGCAGAGAGGTCACGCGAAGAGCACTCAGGGGTGTAAAAAGCTGGCGTGCGAATGCAGTACGCAGGGGTAATGCAACGGCCCACGTTTAATTCAACACTAAAACACTGTTTTTAAAAACGCTATTAAAACCGGCGAATCAAACAACGATGCGACGTTTTTAAAAATACCGCAGCACTTTTAAACTTGAGCCTTAATTTAGGCCCCATAAGGGGCAGCTTATAATCGCGGGCGACGTTCTTCTACAATTCGATCACAGCTCCCCTCTCCTCTCCTGCTCTCTTCACGGTTCAATTCTCGTATGCCCTTCATCTTTCGGTGGCGGGCGCCTCATTCCCTTCTTCATTTTTGCGAGACTGAGACAACCGCTAGCAAGTCCGTTCCTGCGACCCTCTGAAGCATTGCGGCTCTTCCCGGTAACTTGGACAGGTTCTTGCAAGCGAAGACGCCGACTGTCCCTACTCAATATCTCTCAAAGGCATGTAAAATGTCACTTTTCATTACTTTTCTTGTTCGTTTTGTTTCTCCTTTGGTGCTTGCTTTTGGATTCAGGTCATTGACATAGCAAATTTGTTAATTTTTATGCATTTATGCATTTTTTCCATGTTGAGTTTTTTGTTGCTTTAAGCTCTTTAAACATTGTCATGATACAAATTTGATACGAGGATTGTTTTATTTTCATGTTCTATACATTTCGTTGCGATTTTTTGCTGTAAATTCTTCCTTGCTTAGAAGAGGATAACTAATGTCAATGTTGAATTTGATTGTACAAAGTATATAGCATGTTGTTGAATAGCTCATAGGGTTGAATCGGCCGATGAGATTCAATTCAATACATGTTTGTTGATCACATACTTATAAAATTTGTAGTGAACTTTAGTTCAATACATGATTGGTAGGGATGTCAAAAAAATTCGTTGTTCGCGAACAGTTCGTGTTCTGTTCTTCAATGATTTCGTGTTCGATTTGTTCAATAAATAAACGAGACGAACGTGAACAAATATTTTTCGTTTGGTTATTTAAACGAACCAAACACGAACAATGATGTGTTCGTTCGTGTTCGAATCGTTATTGTTTGAAATATAAAATAATTTAAAATAATTATATATAAAAAATTTACGATATTTTAAAAAATTAAATTTTATAAATTATAATATATAATAAATTAATAATAATAATATATTAATATACTATATTAGTAATATACTAATATAGATATTATATATTTATATAATATAAGTTATATAATTAATATAATATATTATTTATATATATATTAATATTAGGGATGTCAAATTGGCTCGTCGTTCGCGAACAGCTCGTGTTCAGCTCTTATTCGACCCGTTCGTTAAGAAACAAACACGAACAATTTTGAACACAAACTTATTTCAAACAAACTAAATTTCAAACGAACCGAACACGAATACAAGCTCTGCTCGTTCGTGTTCAGTTCGCTTACACCCCTAATGATTGACAGTTGTATGCTTTTATGGTTTGCAAGCAACGATGGAACCAAAAGTTGAGGATAGGAAAGGCAAAATAAAAAAATTAAAGGGTGGCTAATATTATAAAACTTACATACATAACTAACAATTCTTATCTGGTTACCTATCTAATACCCAAAGTTGCATATCTAGTTCTCCCACTGTTTGCAAGCTGTTGCTAGGAAGCCTATTCTTTTGCTTGTTCGCTGTAATTGATTGATGCCAGAAATGTTCAATCGTAGATTGGAATTAGTTCATTATTAGCTCACTATTTCTTAATACAGTGGACTACAATATGCTGATCTTATATTTGATTTGTGCATATAACCATGTGGATGGTTATAAGTTGTGAAGGTTGTAATTTTGATGAAAGCTTATCAAAGTGTTGGATCATATCAGATGCTAGAAATATATAAAAAAGAATATGTGAATTGTGCCCAAGCATTTCTTGATACCCGCTCTTAAGTGAGGTGTATATATATTTTTTTTTTGTATTGGTATGAAGTGATTTTTTGCATCTAAATTATCAAATATATAGCTATGACAGTTATGTTGCGAACAACACTATTCCACAGGTGTATAATGGTTATTTATCCAGAAACAACTGTAAATCAGCTATTTTCCAAATGCATAAACCAAACAGTCAACCGGTTAATTTAGATTAGCTCTTGATCAACAAATTATCTGGATTAACAGTTTATCAGCAGATTATTGAGAAGTTGCAGCTGTTCCTAACCTCATTTATTACAAATCACGGTCCCAAAATAGGAAAAATTTTATGTCCGGACTCCTAATGTAGCTCTACTTGCGGACTCCCAGTAATGTATTGTCATGTGCGTTATATTGGACCCACCTAAAAAATATTAATGTGAAACTGCGAACTCCGCAATTACCCAGAAATAACCACGAAATAACCTCTGCGGTGGGTATCTCTTCAATAACCCGGAAATAACCTAGAAATAAACTCCACGGTGTTATTTCAGTGTCATTTAAGTGAAACCCCGGAGGTTATTTCTAGGTTATTAATATGAAATATATAAGTTCTTCTTCAATAACCCATAAATAACCCACAAATAGCCTCTACGGTTCCACTTCAATAACCTCGAATTAACCTCCGCGATGTAACACAAGTAGCGGCATATTTTTGGAGCTCGCACATAGAGCTACGTTAGGAGTCCGGACTGAAAATATTTCCCCGAAGGGGTGCTTCGTGGTCTAGACTCTGGATGTAGCTCTACGTTCGGACTCCCGCTAATATACCGACATGTGTTCTATATTTGGCTCACCTAAAAAAATATTAAAGTGGAACTGTGGACTCCGCAATAACCACAAAATAACCCATAAATAACTCTGAAATAACATTTGTAGTTCCACTTTAATAACTCTGAAATAACACCGCGGAGATTATTCTATGGTTATTATATATCACTTGAAGAGAAGCTCATATATTCTATTTCAATAACCCTAAAATAATTTTCTCAGTTCCACTTCAATAATCGCGAAATAACGTCGCGAAGGCTATTTCTAGGTGGGTTATTTTCGGGTTATTAAAGTGAAATATATGAGTTTCTTTTCAATAACCGCTAAATAACACCAAAATAATCTTGAAATATCCTCCGCGGTTTCACTTCGATAACCCCAAAATAATGTCCGTGATGTAGCACATGTGAAGGCATATTATTAGAGTCCGCGCGTATAACTACGTCCAAAGTCCGATCATAAAATTTTCCCAAAGAGGTCGTAGTGAGCCATCGATGGAGAGAGGACCGAGACGCGTTACGGAGTCTTTCACCCGTAAATAATATGTCTTGGGACCGTGATATATAATAAATAAGGTTTGGAATCCTCCATATGTAAAAACTCATTTTTTATTGGGATATTTACATTAGGGGGGGGTTTTCAATAATGTTGTTTTTTAAGAGATGAGCGCTCGAATCCAATATATATGCATCCGAGCACCATTAAACTTGGATTGGCTAACAAATATCATGTCACAATTCAATAAATCTGCCAATTTTTTTCATTGAGAGTGTAACATAATAAAATATTCTCACACATAGAAAGAAAATGAAGAAATATTAGCAAACCACAAGAGTTGATGTGACTCAAGACTTTGGAGCTCTGCTTGCTCTCCATTGTTCATATGAACTCTTGATTGCATCCCAGAAAGCAGGAAT